AAGCCGGTGGTGCAAACAAGCTGCGGGCTTTTTTGTGGGGCAAGGTTATTTGAGGGGGTGGACATACCTTTGCGGTGACCAGTATGACTGACTTACAAATGCAAAGAACATATCTGAAGCTCCGTCCTTTTAGGTTGCTAAATATTTCATGCAAGGTATGCTAATTGCCATGAAAGACTCATGGTTTGCCAGCTGCCAGCAAGAGAAGGTGTTTAAGGCCTGAGGGCTTTTAAATTGCTGTAATTACACAATTAAAATATGATTTTTCTCTCATCCGACACGGTGATAATTATCCTGGCGTGCTCACATCCACCGAGAGCAGGCGCAGGGACCAGCCCGTTGCGTTTTCTGAGAAGCTCAGGCAGGCAAGAGCCAGCGCGAAGTTGAGGCGAGAGAGAGGTGACACGGGTGGCATTTGGAGAAAGAAGGGAGCAGGAGGCTGGGTTTGGGGAGACCAAGGCTCAGCACAGCCGCCCCAGCAAGGTGAGGGCAATTCCCCAGCACACCAGTCTTCCCTCCTCCTGCCAGCAGTGGGAAGGGGCTTGGATGTGCGTGGTGTTCCTGCTGCTGGGGTTATAGAGGGCTGCTCCAGCTGGTGGGACACAGTTGGTGCCACGAAGGGGAACATCTCTGGCTTCTCGAATCATTGAGCTGTTCTCCTGCCTGAAAGCAGCGAGCTGACCACGTCAGGCAGCGATTTCCCTAGCGAGCTGGGAGGGCCGACTGTCCTACAGGTGACAGTCCCTGCCCAGAGCAGGCCAGAGTGTGGCCCAGCCTGTTAGCTACCTCCCACACAAACAGGTAGGAGGGATTGGGATGGTGTCCTGAGGCAAGGGGACTCTGCCTTTGGGCATCAAGCCACAAAGGGGCTCCTTGCAGTGAGCCTGGGGTGGTGAAGTGGGAGCTGTGCTCTCTCATGGGGTGCCAGCTGCAGGGAGAGCTCTGTGGGTGCTGGAGCCCAGGTAGAGCAGGGCCACCTTAGCATCCCATCATCTCACTGGTTCTTTAGGACACCTACCTTGTGCTCCTTGACCCCAAGCCCTGACTCATCACTGTTCCCAGGTCTGCTGTGGCTTGGGCTGCTCCCAGCCCCAGTCAGGGTGTCAGGAGGGGTGGAAGCCATCACCTCCGCTCCTGCAGTGCAGGGGAGCATGCAGGCATCCCTGTAAGCTCTGGGGACATGCACCCACCTGCAAGGAAAGGGGCCAGACTCAAGCCTTGGCTCTAGAAGCAGCAACACCCCATCGCCCCAGCAGCTCGGGCAGCGAAGTTTTCCCACAGGCAGGCAAGCTACCTGGGCAGAGCCTCCATCTGCATCACAAAGGGCAGCAAACAGGGCTTTGTCATGGGATCTGCTAATTACAAGGCAACGTTTTCTGAGCCCTGTGTGTTTCCATAGCCCGTAGGCCTGTTCCGCCGCTGTCCCTGCTCACACAGCTCCCTTCCTCTGAGCAGGGCTACGACAGCGAAAGCGTGACACGCCGGTGAGCCAGCACCCCTTCGGTGTGATCACTTGGTTTTCGTTCAGGGAATGCTTTGAGCCTGCCACCCAAAATTGTTTTCTGCAAGGATATTCCTGTGTCCTGGCCTCAGCCTCTGTTCGTTCTCTGGCAGAGCTCTTCCAGGATGGATTCAGTGGGAGTTTGGCTGGGATTGGTGCGTTATGACTTGGTCCAATCTGAACAGCATCTTCTTCCCCTACAGAAACTGGTTTTGTGGTGCGGTATTTGTAGCATCATAGGATCGTTTGGGTAGAAAGGGGCCTTTAAATGCCAACTAGTCCAACCCCCTGTAGTGAACAGGGACATCTTTAGCTGGATCAGGTTGCTCAAAGCCCCATCCAGCCTGACCTGGAGTGTTTCCAGGGATGGGGCTTCTACCACCTCTCTGGGCAGCCTGTGCCAGTGTTTCACCACCCTCATTGTTAAAAATCTCTTCCTTGTACCTCATCTAAATCTCCCTCTTTCAGTTTAAAACCATTACCCCTCATCCCATCACTACCCTCCCTGAGGCAGAGTCCCTCCCCACCTTTCCTGCAGCCCCTTTCAGCACTGGAAGCCGCTCTAAGGTCCCCCTGGAGCCTTCTCTTCTCCAGGCTGACCCCCCCCAACTCTCTCTGTCCTCACAGGGAGCTGCTCCAGCCCCCTGAGCATCTTCGTGACCCTCCTCTGCACCCGCTCGAGCAGGTCCGTGTCTTTCCCGTGCTGGTGCCCCCAGAGCTGGAGGCAGCCCTGCAGGGGGGGTCTCACCAGAGCGGAGCAGAGGGGCAGAACCCCCTCCCTCGCCCTGCTGGCCACGCTGCTCCTGATGCAGCCCAAAGTATTGTCAAGAAACAAACCATGGGGTCATTTTGCTCTGCTTTAGCCTTATCCAGTACTCGTAAGTGCCCCGGGTGCAGAGTGTGACTGAACCCTGTGCATCACCACCTCCAGGAGCTATTCTCCAACCCCTGGCACTCTCTGGTCCGGGCACTAACTGTCCTTGCTTTGCAGGAGGTGTACGTGGGCAAGGAGACCATGTGCACGGTGGACGGGCTTCACTTCAACAGCACCTACAGCGCCCGGATCAAAGCCTTCAACAAAACAGGAGTCAGCCCCTACAGCAAGACCTTGGTCCTCCAGACATCCGAGGGTAAGGCATTGCAACAGCTCCAGCCCGCCGCGCTCGGACACAGCTCACACGCACGCGGGGGGCCCGTCCAGCCCACCCAAGCTTAGCACTGCAGTACAGGGAACCGCTCCGCTGGTCCTCCAGTACCTCAGCCATCACTGCAGGAAAGCCAGCACTGACAGGGAAGGGAAAGGTGATGTCAGGAGCCTTGGACAGCACCAGGATTTCTCTCTCTCACCCCTTTCCTTTGCAGAAGGGGGCCTTTGGGGAGGTGCAGTCAGAGGCATCCTGCAGAGAGGTATTTAAATTCGGTTGCAGCAGCGTTTGTGTTATACCAAGGGAAGCTCAGATGTTTTCATTAATTCCATTTAAAAAACAAAACAACACCGTCAACATTGCTCCCGAGACACGAAGGGCCGTGCCTGGCTGCACACCGCCGTGACGGCACGACGTCTCCTCCAGCCCCTGGCAGTGCACGACAGAGAGCAGAGGGACCGTGGAGCTGCTCGGGTGTCCTTGCAGACCCACGGGGTGTACGGCCAGCCACGCCGGCGGCGTCTGCATCGCCCCCACACCGCCAGGCGCTCCCTTAAGAATATTAAACACCCCCCCTGCAGGTTGCGGAGGAGTCTCCCCGCCTGACTTTAAGTACATTTGTCACACCAGGCACTTAATCCGTTGTGGAAAATTGGCTTGTTTCTGACGTGCAGGTGGAGAGTCGTGAGGCTAGCTCCGAGAAACGAGGTGGGAGTCAGCAGCAGCGGGCGATGCAGCCGTGAAGGAATCAGCCCCCACCAGCCCGTCTGCCACCCTGTAGCCTTGCTGCCAGGCGAGAAACCCCTCCTGGCGGGTTCTCCACGCTCAGTGGAATCCCTTTTCCTTATTCCCAGACTAAAAAGCTGTCTTTTCCAAACCACGTGAAGATTTCGTTTCGCAGCAGCGTTGCCAGACCTGCCTGGCCGCTGGCTCGAGAGCGGCAGGATCTTCCCCCCCCCCCCCCCCCCCCCGAGAAACACAGTCCGGGGTCAGGAGGGAACAAACACAGCTCGTGGGGCTGCTGGTGGGGCAGAAGGAGGGTGAGAGCCTTCTTGCCACAGAGCATCTCTGGTGGCTTTGAGCAAGGGGCAGAAAAGGTTTTCTGCTGAAAGAATAGAAGACAAAAGCAGAGCGAGGCTATGCAAAGTGTTTTCACTCGCTTGCCCTGCGCTCATCTGCAGGAGATAAGTGTTCCAGTTCGGAAAGGGCATGTGCCAGGTTTGAATGCGTGGGCAGGACAAGTCGGTGAGGAGTAGGACTCCCCCATGATGGGCAGAGTGGAGAGCAAATCTTCTCACCCAAGAGGCAGAAAACCCAAATCGCCAGCCACAAAGGCCTTGGCACGTCCGTCCGAGAGCTGTGCACGTCTCCGCAAAGCTGGGCGCCAGCGTCAAGGAAGCTGCAGCGTTCCTCTGGGGATCCAGGGATGGGACAACCCGGATCCAACCCCGCGCAGGGGTGGCCAGGACCTCTCCCAAAGCCTGAAGGTCAACAGTTCTCCCTCACTTCACTACTTGGCTTCAGCAGCCTTTGCAGGAGACAGCAGAGCTTTGGATTCTCATCACATTTGTGTCTCATAAGACCCATTTGAGACACAGTTTCCTAACGAAAACCAGTTGGGCTTTTAAGTTGTCCCAGCCAGGAGTTTGCAAGGGGGACCCTGTGATCTTTCCAGCTCTGCTTTCCACTCGTAGGCGTTTTCACTGTTGAGCCAAGCTCACCAATTTGCGCAGCTCCAAAATACAAAGGACCTGGGAGAAAGTAGCTGTTCGTGGGGCTGGTGCCTTGATCTGGGCCAGCAAGCAGACGTTTCGCCCTTCTGAGCATCAGCTGAACGTTTGCTGCATTCACCCTTTTCACCGAATGGGCTTTTGCCTTTGTTATTCCAGCACGAAAGAAAGGAGGAGAAAAAAAGTCAAACGGGCCTGGAGCGTTTTCTGCTCTTGGAGGCCGTCTGAGCTTTTTTTTGGACTCAAAAGTGAACTAAATTCCATCTCTGCGCAGCTTCTGGATATCCGAGTGACTTGTTGAATAGAGCCGCCTTGCGCATCGCAGCTCTCCGGTTAGGCTTTTCGTTTCTGGCCTTTACAGCAGCATCAGGCTTTCAAGTGCCATTTTTTGTCTGAAGTAGGCTCAGCTTTCCCCTTCAGCCGTGCTCTGCGGCTCGCTGCGAAGCGTCCGTGCGGGAAGAGGGGACAAAAGAAGAGACGGGCTCGATAGGAAGAGAACATCTCTGAACACGGCTGTCGTGCTGTAAGTGGTGAGGAGAAATTCGGCTTAGAGGGTGTTGTTCAGAAGCTGGCTTCTAATCCTGGCACACAAGATCCTTATCTGCAGCCTGTGGAAGTTAACTGGAGTTTTTCTTCTGCCTTCAATGAGCAGCGAAATGGGCCGTAGGGGGTAGCAGGGAGTGAAAAGTCTTGCAGGGTCTCAGCATCTGAAGAGAACAAGGATGAGAAGAGGGTAAAATTGTGTCTGGGCCCCTGCAGGCATGACACTCTGAGGTCCTGCCCAGACGAACAGCCGAGGCAAACCAGCCAGCACCGACGAGAGTGTCCCACGGGACGTCAGCGCACGCACACGAGCCTCCAGCAAGCTGCAGAGCACCTTCCCAGCCCGGGATGTGGCACATCTTCTCCTGCTCGTCCCAAAGGAAACCACATTTTCCAGCTGAGGAGATTGCAGTTCAGTCTTCAAAGCTGGTGCTTGGTACCAGCAGCAGGGCAAGGTGGCTCCTGGCTGGGAGAAGGTCTGCGCCCCAGAGCCCGTCCCACGTGCTGGGCCCTCTGGGGCTTCCTAGGGATGAAGATCCTCATCACCAGCACAGCCAAATGGCAGCAAGGGCTGCCATGGTCCTTACCTTGAACTGTGTCCTCTCCCCTGCCTGTTTCACAGCAGCTCTCGGAGCATCTCTTTGCCCTGTCTCAACCTCTCTGTTTCTTCAGCACCTGAATGAAGTTCAGCTGTAGGCTTGGAAATCAGTCTGGAAGAAAGTTTGCAAGATGACCCTGTCCCAAGGCACAAGCAGCTTAAAAGACTTGGTGAGTGGCAGCACCGCTCAGCTGTCCTCACCCCTGGGAGACCTCAGGTCTCCCCCCCTCCAGCCTCCTCCTCTCACCTCTCTTGGTCTTTCCTCATCCAGCAGATTTTCCCAACCTCTGGCCAGTCTCCTGCTGACTTTGGGACACAGTCTGTTTTCCTCCCACCGTGTTCCCTTCCTCACCCTACCTACAGCTCATGGTTCCTTGCTGCATTCGTGGCTGTGGCACGAGTAACCTCTGAGAGGCTTCGCAGAAGGCCCTGGCTCTGGTCTGCTGGTCATGGTGGCATGCAAGCAGCCGCTTCCAAAACAGGCACCAAATGCACAGTGGCAAGGAAAAGAGGAGGAGACCTCCCAGTTGCAGTGGGATTAGAGTCCACAGGTGGGCTGGCTCCTGGGCTGCTTTTCTCTACAAGGCTTTCTGAGGTGGCTTCTGAGTCCCTCCAGTGTTCTTTCCATGGGCTGTCCAGCGCATGGATAGATGGCAAGATGAAGGACCAACTCACCCCAGGTGGAGATGGAGAAGAGGAGCTTGGCAGTGCTGGAGGCGACTGTCCCTGCCTGTTCTCCAGACCCAGATCTGCTCTCCTGGCTGGTGCAGAGGTTTGACCTCCCTCCTGCCAAAACTTGCTGCTCTGCTCTCGCCCTCCCCCAGGTCTCTTTGACTGCCCACACCTCAGCCCTTCCACTGGGCTGTTTTGTGCCTTCAGCCACGCTGTCCTGGGCATGTGCTGCCCGTGCACTGAGAGCCAGTAGTCATGGCTGCAGAAACTCAAGGCAAGCCTGCTTTTGGCTTCTTGTCTCTTTGGTGAGACGCAAGCCTAGGAGCGGAGGATCAGGGAGGAACACTTGGCTTGTCACACTCCGTCTGTCCCTTCTCTCGAGTTCCCAAACTTGGCCGACTCTGCCAGCGTCACGGGGAGCCGCTCCCGGCTTCCTCTGCCACCCATCTGAGCTGGGGATGCGGCAAAGGGGCTTGGGCACCACCTAGGAGAGCCCTGAGCCCTTCCCCAGCCTAGTCAAGCACCAGAAGCTTTTCTCTTCCTTCAAACCCAGTTCATCCTCTGGGGCCCAACTTTAAGTTCCTTACCGGCCGTGGAGTGACCCTCAGCAGCAACCGGGGCTTTTTAACCGGCAGTTTTTGGGAAGGGGTGAACGACACAAGGGGAGACGCGCTGCAAGGAGCTACAGGAACATGAGATGCTAGTTAGGGAGAGCCATGAACCCAGCTACTCTTGGTAGTAGTTCCTCTCACTCTTGGTAGATGTTAGAGGGCACGTCTCTCCCTTAACCTTGAGCTCCGTTTACTGACCTGTTGTGCCATAATTTATCGAACCCGTGTCTGAACCCACTGACACCCTTTGCTTCCACAGCCTCGCGCAGCAGCCAGTTGCAGAAGTTACAGTCCACTGTGCAAAGAAATGCTTCCTTTTATCTGTTTTAACGTGATTTCCAGCTCAATCCGTACTCACAGCTGGGACAGGAAGGCTGGGGACAGAGTGTTCGGGAGTTTATGTGTGGAGGATGGTGGATTCCACATTTTCATGTTAACATATCCCTTGACGAGGCTAGGGAAGAAATTGCAGGAGGTGACTGTGGTAGCGGGGAACAGAAACCGATGACCTGAGAGGTTCCCTCTACTCTGACGTTTTGCTGTGAATCACATGAGTTAAATTCTTACTGTAAGGCTCAGATGTGTTTTGACAGGTACAAAGGGATACCAAGAACACAACATCCCGAACAACCTTTGAGTAAGGTGGGTGCTTGGTGGTACTTAGGGTAATAGAGCTTAGTACAGCCCTGCAAAATGCCTTTCAGCTAGTTTTTACGCCCCTAACTATTGTGCACCAAAAGGTATGAGATTTATTAAAGAACGGTGGGAAGTGTGCATGGTAACTTGTGAATTTTTTTAGGTGCGTTACTGTGAAGAGGTGCAGGACTCGCTTTAAAGAAAAGCGTATTGAGTCGGTCACGATGGCGTGGGAACAGTCTGGAAGACGAAAATATGGTTATTGCCAATCCTGTCAGAGGCAAGGCCTTCCTGCAGGGTCTCGCTGGCTGGCGCAGCACCAGGCTTCCCTGCTCCACGCGCCGTACACACGCCCGCGGCAGCCCAGCAGGGTCCGTGCGTGCCGAAGCGCCTGCGCTCTGGTCCGAGGTCTGGTCTCGGGCGAGGGGAGCGACGCCGTCCAGCGGACCCCGTTTCTGATCTCTAGTTTGCATTGATCTTACGTTTAGACACGCAGTCAGAAGAACAGACCCTCCCTTTTCCAGTGCCTTTGGAAAGATCGCAGCTTCGTAGAATGAGTCCTTTCTCCTCCACCCTTAATCTACAACCCAGCTTTCCGGGGAGATCCTACTTTGAGCTAAGATCTTCGGCCCACCAGCTGAGCTTGCATTCTTCTTTACAGTCCCTGAATTCAGCTGGTGAGCTGAGTGCCTCTGGCATTTCCTCTTGGTCTGTGCTTCTGGCCATCTCCAAACTATTCGTTTGTTTTGTTCCGTTGTGTTTGTTTTTCCCATGACATGCGGATGGCAGGGGGAACTTCTTCTGTTTGTCAGTGGCCTGCTCCTCCTGCGGAGGGAGTTTCGGTGGCGTCGTTCTCGTGGTGTTTGCATCTGTACGTACCAGCAGGGGCAGTTTTAGGCGTGGGGTGACAGAGCAGCACGGTGACTCCTTACGTGGGTGCTGTTCTCGGCGGGGCCGGCGGGGCTGAGCCATTTCGCACAGCCAGCCGGCAGAGCAGATCCCTCGTCTCTCGTTTGGATTGCTCTTGTGCCTAGGGACAGTCAGAAGAACAGCCCCTCCCGGGGAGAAACCTACGGGGACATCTCAAGGGTTTGCTGTCCCTACACAACCAGAAAACGCAGCCTCTGCGGTGAGGTTTGTTCTGCGAGATTAGTTCCCTCGATTAAACCTAGACCCCTCTTAAGAAAGAAGCCAGCCTAGATGCAAGCAAGGTCTGGCTAAGTCCAGCTCGCAGACCCCTTGCAGCCTGGCTCCTTGAGACCCTGAAGACGGGGGCTCTCGTCCGCTCAGCGCTGAGCACCGGGCTCGCCTGTTGCAAAACCAGACGTGATCGTCACGACGTCTTTGTTTTCTGCGGGGCAGAGGAAACGGCTCCCGTGACGCCTGGCTCGCCTGGCAGCGCCCGCAAGCGCTTGGCTTGCCTCCTCGCGCCCGGCCCGCGCGGGCTGGCGTGGGGCCGTAGGCAGTGCAGGCAGAACGAGCGACGGTGTCGGGCAGCCGGCGGAGGAGCCGCAGGCACAGGGCATCTCTCCGAGCTGTTTTCTAACCGTTTTTTGCGCATCTTCCGTTGCTAAAGATCCTGGGCCCTGATTCTTCCGCCGCTCTGGATTTACACCACTCCACGGGCTCCGGTGGAGTCATTCACGGCTTCCTCTGGTGTAAGGCCAGGAAGAATGGGGGCCCCCGATTGTTTGATTTCCATCCCATAACCTGGAATGAGG